TCAAAAGCTGCCTTCTGAAGTACAACTCAACATCTGAACAATGTAACATTATCATTGCTTGCGGGAAGCAATTCTTTTATAGGCTATGTAGTCTTGAGAAGTTGAGACTATGTCACATCAAGCAGCAGGTAAAGAGAGCATACTGGTAATCCAGCAAGTTGATGAAAGTGATGAGTAGATGGAAGGCAGCACTCACTACATAAAAGGGATTTTTAAAGTAAGCTTTGACTGGATTATGAAAATCAACTATAGTATGTATTACCGTTATAATTCTGATCTTATAACCGTATAGTACGCTTTAGAATTCCCTTGATCAATAATATATGCTCCATTGTTCCCTATGTGTAGAATGGTAGAGTTTAATTGCTGGTCAAAAGGTCTGATTTACTGCTAAGGTCAAAGTGGCTTTTTCTCACACAGATCTGGTCTTTGCCGAGTCTAACAGATGGAAATGGAAGTAAAGTCGGAATACATGTGTCTATTTTTTCCATTCCACTCGGGGGCTGAACAAAAAACTAGAACAGATTCTTCCATTAACACTTACAAGCATTGATGGACAAATCTCCCCCCGCTGTTTGCATTGTATGTTTGCACCCGTTTGCATTGGGTATTCTAACAGCCACCGGCCATTGTCAGAACCGTAACATTCACAAATACTGTATACGTATATAAATGTATCCACACTAGCAAACATACTACTATTGCTCAGTATAAGCTGTAAATAAGATACAAATCAGCTAAATTACAGTAATTTTGTTCTATTGGTTCAACTTTAAAAAAAGCACTTTCCACCATGCCAATTTCATTAAAGTGACATTAAAGGCAACATTTTTTTCCCCTCACCCCAACGTTAATTAAAGCACTTACCTTAAATGATGTCTCTTAATCCGATCTTCTTCTTCTTTCCCGATGTTTTCAGCCTTCTCTCCAGCGCTGCGGCGGGTGTCCGATCCAGCGCTGACTCCTCTGGGCTTGCTGGCACTTCCTGTCCCACGGTGTGTGCATGCGGGAGCAGGCGTCCATAGACTTACCTTGTTTCCCTCCTCATGTCCCGGCTGAAAATGTGAACTGCGAATGCGTGCGCCCCAAGATCCTTTGCGGCCGCCTGAGAATTTTCACATTTTCGGACAGGAGAGCGCGGGGAAGACACAGGTAAGTTTAAACCACTGTTAAAGCCGGTTTTTAAAAAAGTAACTTTTTGCATATATCTACTGCTTGCTAGCAGTAGATATATGCAAAAAAAGCTGAGAGTTTAGAAACCCTTTAAGGATTTCTCTTGTTTTACCAATCTCCTGAAATGTTCATATATTCATCCATGATGCTGAAAACTACTTTGCATAAACCATAACAAATGTTTTCCATCTGTAGTGTCGGTGGTGAAGTCAGTAAGGAATATCCATGGATAAAAAACAAGGGTCATGACAGATGACTTTTCATGTCTCAGCACAAATCACAATAGGGATATATCTATAATTAGCCTTTCTTCTGAACAACATCACAACACATTCGTGTGAACACAGTACATGGGTGGCTGTTTTAATTCTCCCGGTATAAATAGGCTGGCCAGGAATGTGCGGCTCGGACATTCTTCCCTGCATCTCATTGAGGAAGGTATTATGTTCTACTTATCTGTTCTGGTTCTTTAGCGCTGTTACATGGAAAGAGCTGCTGACGGAGCAAAAGCCACATGTGTCAGCAATGCAGGACCACAACAGGACTTGTTTTCTCTTTATAAAGTACACAGTAGCTATAGGCAAAGGGAACCCACGCGTCTGTCACTAATGTCTGTCATATGCTGTCTATTACAGCACTGAACAGTAAACATAAACCTAGAATTGCTATTCGACAACTCTGATGTCTCATAAAAGGATTTGCATGTGGTTTTATGAGCTTGTATGGATTTACAATGAGCTGCAAAGCCTCACTTATCATCATTTAATAAAAAATAAAAACAAATTCAATAGCCTATATATGTTCAACTGCGAGGAACTTTTCTTGGAAGTCAACTCGGGTATTCTCTAAAATGTCATGCCACCTTCACTGGGGCCCTTCTAGTAACAGCTGCACCCTATGCAATAATATACCAGCTTAGTACATAGATCCGCATTTCTGATGCAAGCTGATATACAGGTGAAACTCGAATAATTAGAATATCGTGCAAAGTTCATTTATTTCACTAATGCAACTTAAAAGGTGAAACTAATATATGAGATAGACTCATTACATGCAAAGCAAGATAGTTCAAGCCGTGATTTGTCATAATTGTGATGATTATGGCTTACAGCTCATGAAAACCCCAAGAACCCCAAATCCACAACCTCAAAAAAGTAGATTATTACATGCAATCAATAAAACAAGGATTGTACATAGAACAATATCGGACCTCTGAAAAATACAAGCATGCATATGTACTCAGTACTTGGTTTGGGCCCCTTTTGCAGCACTTACTGCAATTACTTTTGCACGATATTCTAATTATTCGAGTTTCACCTGTATACATAATCACCTCCAAGTACGCCAATATACACTGCCTGGCCAAAAAAAATCACCACCTGCATTAAACCCTTCGTGACGGGAGACGTACAGTGTACGTCCCGTCACAAAGTGGCTATATGACTGGCCACGTACACTGTACGTGCCGAGTTATATTAGCCTCTGTAATGCCGGTAACTGCTGATTCTCAGCAGTTCCAGTCATTAATTAATGCCTCACTATTGAGACATTCATTAATGAAATAGTTAAGCTTTTTTAAAAGCTTCTTTCTTTCATTAATGAAAGAATGAAGCCTTTACATTCAGATACGGGTTCGCTAAATAGCGATCCCGTATCTGACAGCTGAAGATAGCAGAGAGGTAGCAGTGACTCACCTCTCTGCTATTCGTTTTGACAGCTGGAGAGCCTGGCCCGATGTTAAATGATACATTTCAACCACTAGATACAAAATGTATCTCTTGAGTGAAATGTATCAGTTTTGATCGTCTAGGAACGATCAAAGACCTTTAGTGAGATCTGATTCTGACATGCTGTCAGGATCAGTCTCTAAAGTTATTATTAGCTGTTCCTAAGCTTGGAGCAGCCTGATAATAACTAAAAATTTTAAAAAGTTAATTTATTAAGCAGTCATAGTGATTGCTTGATATAAACTGACAAAAAAAAATTTTTTTTTTTTACACTTATTTTTTTTACAAAGTGTAAAAAAAAAAAAAAAGTGTACAAAAAATTAGGAAAATAAAACTTTTATATGTAAATATATTTGTATACTATAATTATTATTAAAAAAATTCTAAAAATAATAATCAAAACTTGCTGCTGTGGAAGGATCACACAGCAAAAATGTAAAAAGTGTGTCAGTCATTTAGGAACAGAAACTAAAAACTAGCTCAGTCATGAAGGGGTTAAGCTAAGCAAATAGAAAAGAGCCATCCATTAGATAATTACTGAAGTGATTGATATGTTTCATATTTTAGGTCCTCAAAAATTAGGTCAGTTGCCTACCTGAATATACTGAATAATCAGGTTTTTCCATCAATGGATTTTTTCTTTCCTGGTGGCATATTCCAAAAAGACAATGCCCGGATTCCTCAGGCTCAGATTGTGAATGAGTGGTTCAGGGAGCATGAGACATCATTTGCACACACACATGGATTGGCCACCACACAGTCCAGAACTTCACCCCATTAAGAATCTTTGGGATGTGCTGGAGAAGACTTTACGCAGTGGTCCAACTCTCCCTTCATCACTACAACATCTTGGTGAAAAATGAATACAGCTCTGGACAGAAATTAATGTTGTGACATAAGCCTACAGAAATGATGCCAAGGCGAATGCGTGCCATAATCAAAGCTAAAGATGTTCCAACGAAATATTAGAGGGTGTGACTTTTTTTTGGCCAGGCAGTATACAATTATTATGTGATATAGCTCTATAACAAAAATAAAATAGATGTGTATTCAAATACAATTTCAACAAGCAAATTGGACACCTAAACCAGAGTTGCTCTATGAGAAGACTTTGTGAAGTCATGTACACATAAAAGTTGGTTACTGGATATATGTTGTAAAACTTAGATGATATTGAGAAGTGGGGAGACCTGACTATACAACAAAACACTGGTTTGATTATTAGACAGTGGACTACATTAGAAGCAGTCAACTGATGACCAAATATATATAGAGAGACTGATGTGGTTAACATACAGCAGAATCTACTCTCATAGTCATACATCACTGGACTTCTGCCAACTGCATGACACTGGGAATTGCTTTGGCATTATAATTCAGGCAGCTTTTGGCATATTATTTTAAAATAGTCAAACCGTTCGTACCCACTCTATGAACTGTGTTGCAGTTCAACTGCAGACATTCATTAGGTGCTCTGTGGTTTCCAGTTCTTAGCGTCAAACACTATAAAAGCTAACAATGTCAGGTTAACATACCTGATTAACCTATTTATTAACAGGTAATGGATTCAAGCAACGCGCAAAATCTTCCATGCAGACACCTATAACTTCATTTCCCAGTTTATTTTACAGAACATTGAAGCCCCAGAAAACATGACCACTCTATTATGCAAGTTTTGACCAGAACATATGGTTACTGACTCCATTTTACCACTGCCACCCACCACACCTCATTACAGTCTGATCATTATCATAAATGGCCTAACTAACCGAAAGTGAGGTGCGGGAGGGGATAGGGCAAAGCTAATTGCCACAGTTGGTATTTGCCTACCACCCAACAAGCAATAGTTGCCTGACTTGCCGATGGGAACAACTGCATGATGAAGGATGTTAAAACGAAAAAGGATTTCAATTTAAAATGAAAATCTACTTTAATGGCTTGTAATTTTAAAACACTTTATTGTTTCTTTTCTTATTTGTTGCAGGCTAATAGGGTAATAAAGCCATCAAACGAATATCTCAATCTTTTTTTAAAGTGTTTGGAAGCATAATTTCCTTACTTAGCCACACATGATAATATAAAGATGTGATTCTTGCTTACCTTTTCTTGACCTCGTGAAGAATTTGATGCCCCCAGGTGAGGTAGATGAGTTGGAGGATGCAGAGTCTTTGGAAGAAGATCTAAATATGCCACTGAAGCTCATCCGTCGAGGGGTGCGAGGAGGTGACTCTTGGTATGGAAAAGGAAACACAGTCTTTGGGGATCCTGGGCTGTACTTTGATTTTACGGGGGCTGACAATGGGCTAGAAGGTCGGTTTTGTAGCGATTTTGGGAAGAAGCTCTTTGAAGGGCTTCCAGTACTGCTGGGTTCCTCTGTCTGCAGGGACAATAGACAACATTTGGTTTTCAAATAAAGTTTCCTCAATTTATATTTGAATAAAATCATTACAGTTGCTGTAACCCCGTCAATCTCTGAGCCCCATTTATATGACAATATGTGATTTAGACAAAGGAAACTAGCATTTATTTTCTATGCTCCTCTGCTTCACCTAGTGGCCATAATTCAGTATTACATTACATTCGTCCTGGAAAGAAAAGAAAATATACTAAGGATGTTTGTTTTTGCCTTTTTTCGCACAGAATGAATATTCAGAGAGATTTGAAGGGCGAATAGCGTTGCAAATTGTTTATAAATAGACCCCTGTGTAAACTTAAAGGAATGCAACTCAAAAAAGGCTTCATTAGCACATTATACATGGTCACTTAATGTGATTTAGGCCCCTTTCACACAGGCATTCCAATCAGGTCTGCCTGTCAGTTTTTTAGGCAGACCTGATTGGAAGCCCAATGTTAGTGTATGGGCAGCTGGATCTAAATGGACAAGCGTCCATTTGCATCCGGTGACCCCCAGCACCGACCAGGTCCAGAAAAACAAACGATTCTGAGTTCTGTTTCAACGGGCCTAACTGTGCCTTGAACGAGTGCCCAACTTTCAGAGGGGGTGACACCAAAATGACTATCAGTCATTTTGGTGTCACCTCTCCAATGGTGTCACCCAGGTGCCGCCACTGGTCCAATAAATTCAGTTTTTTTTTCTTCCATCGAAAGATGGAGAAAAAACTGGACGGACACGGTTGGTGAAATCCATTCCGATCATGAGGGGACCTGTGCATGGATCCCCTACAGATCAGAACTGAAGGCACCCAATTGAAAGGGGCCTTATGCACATAACAGAACACTAGTTCGATTTCAAATGTGCTTTTATGGATAATGAAAAAACACAAAGCTGAAGAGGTGATCTTCAGCTTTGTGTTTAAAAGGTGATCTTCAGCTATTTTCATTTATTATGCTGTCACAGCAGCATTGCATAAGAATGCCAGGTTCCTAGCTGAGATTTCCAACACCTAGGCACCAGGAAAAATAGATCTTTAGGTCCTTTTAACACTATGCCAAGTCCCTCCATTCACAGCCATGTTATGAACACAGATACTATCCAGAGGACGCACTGCTAACAGTATGCTGGGTAAGATAAAAATGGAACCTAAGCATAGAACTAACAGTAAGTATAGCATTCTAAAAACAGCAACACATACTAAACACATTTGCACTAGCTACACGACTTAAATGCAGGCACATACATTAGGCAGATACCGTCACAGAACTCAGAGGTGCCCCAGGAACCCAGAGACTCAAGGTGCATCAATATATAAAATTCAGACACTTCATGTCTAGAGATGGCCTGGCAATCAAATAGCCGGATTAGCTTAAAGAGAAACTTCGGGCAGAATAAAAATTAACCCTTACAGTGGGGCACTGCTTGGTTTGGTTTAAGGTCTAAAATAAAAATGATTCTGCCTCTGCCCCGGGCTTAGGTGCTCTTATGACCCAAGAGTCATCACGTCTAATACAGCGTATTAGATGTGAGGACACCGAGGGACATTTCACCACCAGAGCAGAGGGAGAGAGGTGAGCGGTCGCTGCTGCAGGATCAAGACTTGGGTGAGTATATCTTCTTTATTCAATCCCCTAGAGAAAAACTAGCAGTTAACCCTTGCAGTGCGGACGTCTGCACTGCTTTGAACTGCATCTGAATTGCTTTAATTTGCTTTTGATTTGACATTGACTTATTTGGGGAAGATATGCAGTTCAGACACAAAACATTACCCTGTAAACTGACAAAATTAAATTATGTTTTAAATATTAAAGACAGATTCAGTAAATAGATGGGGAAAACCACCACCAACTCCAAATATGTAGAGATTCAGTTTTCTCTAAATTAATTGGTTACTTATAAGCAAAACCATTGGAACAAAATTGAACAATGTCATGTACCATGCTTTTGTAACTTAATTTTAGGTGCAGTTATATACACATAGTAACCATGATTAGTATTTATAATAAGTTTTACCATGATGTAATCCCATGATGCACCTGTACAACCCATTTACATTATTAAGCTTCTGTCCAATGTATGTTAAAGTAGAACTGAGGCCAATACCCTTTTTTTCATTTTGGAAAGAGTTAGGCCCCATTCACACCTATGCGTATTGTAATATGCGCGTCTGTCGTGCGACCGTCACGCGTTTTTTTTACCGCGATTCGTGGTAAAAAAGTTGCGCGACCGTCGCGCTATTCCAAAGGCTACTTGGCAGTATCCAAATGGAAAACGCCCTACAAAACGGACCAATACGCAGCAAAAACGCTCCGGGACCTTTTCATGCGTGGGCCGTTTTGTAGTGCGTTCGGGACGGGCGGAAATACGGACAGGTGGGGACGATACCATTGACTACAATGCTATTTATTTTTTTGACCGTTTTGTAGAGCGTTCATCGAGCGTAGGACGCGCTACAAAACGGTCAGGTGTGAATGGGGCCTTAAGGTGCGAACACACCTTACGAATATTGGCCGATTTTCGTCCGTTATTCTTAAGGTTGATGGGCAGTGTACAACCGCAAATACTGTAGAATCGATCGACTAACCAGGTTAGAAAACTTCAGTCCATTGTACGATTTTCGCAAGGTTGGTGGCGTTTCCGTATGTCAAAATTCGTACGGTTTACACTGCACACGCGTAGACGAAAATACGTGCGGTCGAATACCGCAATTCGCCCAGGTGCTTTCTTTTAATTACCGCTGATCCAACCTGGCGATAATCGGGGCAGGATGGGGCCGCAGTCCGAAAATCGTACGACAGTTCGACCATCGGACAAAAAGTGTCGTCCGATGATCGCAAGGTGTATGGGCACCTTAAGGGAGGGTTTTAAACCCTTGCAGGCTTTTTCTTTTTACATATGTGTCCCATTGGGGAGATTTCCCTTCACTTCCTGTTCTGATAACAACCCAAACTTTGGGAATTTTTTTTATTTTCAGTGATATTGGTCACATAGAAAGGGTTCATTTCCCTAACAGGGACACAGACAGCAATAGAAACCAGACAGAAGTTTAGTATCTTTTGCACTTTAAGAACTATGTTTACAAGGATTGTATAAAGGAAAGTTGTTTTAACCTTCACTTAGATATAGATGTACAGATATTCCTGTACATCATAAAACAAGTACTTCACCCTTAGAGTCCTTTCACATGGGCATTCCGATCAGGTCCGTCTGTCAGTTTTTCAGGCAGATCTGATTGGAAGCCCGATGTTAATCTCTGGGTATCCAGATCTAAACAGATGAGCATCTGTTTACACCCTATAACCCCCGACTACAGTCAGGTCCGGAAAAACAAACAGATCAAAGTTCTGTTTCACCGGACCAGATTGACGTAGATTGGGGGTAACCAGATTTAAACGGACACAAGCCCATTTACAACTGATTCCCCATACACCAACATGGGTTTGGTTATTTCAGTTTTTACCACCATCGCAAGATGGAGGGAAAAAAAGGACAGACATGGATGTCACAGAATCCCCTCCTGATCAGACCATTTGAAAGGGGCTTTAGATCAAAGAAAAGGGTATATTGGTACAATGTTGGCAAAATGTGTCATCTGCACTGAAACTTACACTTATAAACTTCTAAACATGAATCTTACAGGGTTATTCACAAAAGGGTGAAGAGTTTGGAGAAGGCAGGAGAAGTGAACAATCTAGGACAACATAGCTGAACTGGAAAGTGAGCTGAATTGGAGAATTTTTCCAAATCAGCTATTTTGTCCTAGATTGTTCACTTCTCCTGCCTTCTCCAAACTCTTCACCGTTTTGTGAATAACCCTGTTATAGTTTCTGTACAAGGTGGCTAAAGAGGCATGAGAAGGATGGAAACTATTTTTAAACATGTGAAGTCCATACAACATGATCGAGATATGTGTTAAATTTCTCAACTTATTTATTAATGACATCGGGGAGGGTGTTAACAGCGATATTTCCGTGTTTGCGGATGACACCAAAATAGGGAGGGTAATAGACACGGACTTAGACACTATAACATTACAGGAGGACCTGGATAAAATAGGGGAGTGGGCATTAATGTGGCAGATGAGGTTTAATGTCGATAAATGCAAAGTAATGCACTTTGGAATTAAAAATAAACAAATGGGTTATACAATTATGGGTATGCCGCTGGGGAAGTCAGAAATGGAGAAGGATTTGGGGGTCATTGTAGACCACAAACTGAAAGGTAGTTTGCAGTGCCAGGCTGCTGTAAACAAAGCTAGCAGGGTCTTGTCCTGTATTAAAAAGGGGATGTATTGCAGGGACAAGTCTATAATTTTGCCACTTTATAGATCATTGGTTCGACCTCATCTGGAGTACGCGGTCCAGTTCTGGTCACCAGTACTAAGAAAAGATGTCCTTGAGTTGGAAAAAGTCCAGCGAAGGGCAACCAAACTAATTAGGGGTATGGAGGACCAGAGCTACGAGACGAGGCTACTAAATTTAAACATGTTCACATTAGAGGTGAGGAGATTAAGGGGGGATATGATTTCCATGTACAAAATGTTTAATGGTGGTAGCAACATTAGCGATAAACTGTTTAAAATTAACTCCGTTACAAAAACTAGAGGCCATCACCTAAAATTGATGGAAAAAAAATTCCAGCACAAGGGGCGAAGGGGGTTCTTCACAGTAAGATCAGTTAGGGTCTGGAACTCACTGCCACAGGCAGTGATTTCAGCAAATAATGTGGAATTGTTCAAGAAACTTTTGGACGATTTCTTAAGGGACCGTAATATACAGGGGTACGGGTACTCCTAGAATGAGATCCTAATAGGTTGGACTTGATGGACTAATGTCTTTATTCAACCTCAAATACTATGTAACTATGTAACTATGTAACTTTGACTACTAAAGAATCAGAAAAAAATAGTATAGACAAACTAGTAAATATATACATATTCACAAATATTCTCACATTTTGTTACGAGCTGTGACTATAAAGCACTAAGTGTGGCTGAGAAAAATAAGACACAAGGTAGAACATTACAATGTGGCACCATATGACAGTGACAATAACAAGCCTGGTAGCTTCTATGGGAGGCAGATCTAGGTTTGACCAGAGGATATGGCAGCCAAAGTACCTCTAAGGCACTTGTTGAAAAGACTTTGCCTAACAATTCATGTTAAGCTGGCCATACACTGCTCTATTTTCTACATCCAAACTGTGGGTTGAAAAAAATAGAGCAGATTTCACAATCAACGCTACGTGTGTTGATCGAGGAATCCCTGCTGTTTCTTGTATTCTGACAGTGGCCATCAGAATATCTGAACAGAGCCGACAGATTTTCTGACTGGCTTCTTCGATCAGCTGATCAATGGATGCCATCCAAAAAGGTGCCCACAGTGGCACCCACTGAGCAAAGTTTGGCTGATTCCTCAAGAACCATCCATAATTAGCACAGTGTATTATGGCCACCTTATGTTGTAAAGTATACTTTTTTAATGTATACATTTATTAATGTTTTAAAATGATTTGCATAAAATCTTGACGTTATCTGTACAAGTCAGGGTTCATCCACAACACTCTGTATGCAAAGCATGCCTGAAAGATTGTTGCCAGTCTTTATATAAACAACTAAATCAGATATTGTTGTCTCTGCTAAGAAAGAGGGAGGAGATGTGTAAACTGATCTCCCCTACTATATAGTTCTCTTTCACAGTACAAATGCCTTTTCATAATATGTATGTGAAGGTTCTCACTTATCCAGGTCATGGTATAGCTAACCGTATTCAGTCACATTCAAGTGGACTTGTTCTGTAATGTTGTAGACCTTTTGCTGCTAATCCAAGCAGCTTCTTTGGTTCTAATGTCTTACTACTAACACCTTTTAGTAATGAATACATATTACTCACTGTGTCATGATTTCCATGTACTGGTAGTGAACTTACCTTGCGATTTGCATTTTTATCGTTACTTTCCAAGTCTCCATCCAAAAAGGGCATAGCAAAAGAGCTGAGATCCTAAAAAATGAAAAAAAAATGAAAAAATAACTTTTTAAGTCACAATGCAAGCTGATTCCTCTATAGAAATTAGATAAGAAACATGTCTATATATTTCAATGATATGATCTATGGTCAAAAGCTAAAAATAAAAATGTATTTCTATACTGAATTTCCATACGTTCTATCCCACTCCTAATAACCATATCGATCTAGACGTTTGTAAACTTTTTTATTGAAGATGCCCATAGGCACTGTATCAATGCAGTGACACAATTTCACTCAGCCCTCTGTATATGCACCTCCTTGTGTCACAACTCTCAAAGAGCATGCCTTCTGAACTACAACTCAATGTCTGAACAATGTAACATTATCATTGCTGGCTGGAAGCAATGCACGGTGGGATAAGCACACTGGGAATCCAGAAAGTTGATGAAAATGATAGGCAGACAGAAGGCAGCACTCACTACATAAAAGTGTGTAACTATTCTAACATCGCTCCGTGTCAGAATAATGAAAAAAAGACAAAGCAGTGTTTCTCTCCTTGGCGGCCGGGAGCAGGAGACTCCCAGGGCGCCAGGGAGAGTTAGCTGTTTGGAGATCAGTGTCCCTGGTTAGCAGGTAACCAGGGACGCTGATCTCTCTGAAAGTGGCCGGAGCCAGCCGTGAGATCATGGCTGGCTCTGCCCAGCTGTCAGAAGCAGGCTGTCGGCCGGCCATTGGCCAGCTTCGGCTTTCAGCACGGCTCAGCCGAGCTGATGCATATGCATTCGGCTCGACTGAGCCGCTCGGCCATGTTCGGGAGCTGTACGGGCTATAGGGAATAGCCCGTACAGCACCCCTTCGGTTCTACTGAACCGAAGGGGTCCTGGGGCCGAAGCTAGCCGAAGGATCGGCCGAAGCTACGGCCAGATCCTTCGGCAGCTTCATGAATAGACCCCATAGTGTATGCTGACTTTATAATTCCTTGAAATGGTAAGGAAACATTCCCATAAATTCTATAGATAATGATGCAACTTAGAAGAATATTATAATTCACACACATATAAGTTTAGAGTGTATGTATAGCCATTTTTTTTTTATTGATAGGGAGTTGGGAAGGGTTACCCCTATCTGTTTATTTTTTGTTGCCCGTTGTCTGCCTAGGGACATTTTCCTTGACTTCCTTTCTTAAACAAGCAACAAGAAGTTAAAGGAAATTTGCCAAAGTGAAAAGAATACCCCTCTTAGGCAGTTGTCCCTGAAACAGGTCTTCCCAATTAGAAGACTTCACCCTGAAATTTTGGATTTCCCCACCGTTTTCTGTAACATTGGTCACCTGTACAAATAGAGGGCTGAACCTCCCCATTGGGGAGACAGAAAATACTTGGCAGAGGATCTAACCCTACCCTGCAGCAGACTCTAATACCTTGATTTGCAACTGAATTCCTGACCATTCTAACAGTCAAATCTTCTGACAATTCTGGGTATTGTCTGAGCTTGCTGCTACAAACAGGCGTCACATGTTGCTACTGGCCCATCACTATGATGGGTAGCCCTACAGGCCAACAGGAATGTGTAGAAGGCATGAAGCGGGCATGTAAGCTCAGGAAGTAATGATGCTTTGCCTCTCAGAACAGCCAGACTTTCAGCCATAAAGCAGGGAATTAGAAGCTGTTGCAAGTATGTATTGGCACCTTACCTCAGGGCTATCTGGAAGTCTGCACTAGAAATCTGGCAAGTCAAATCTTTGCCAGATGGGCTAGCACATAAGATAATATTTGTGGACTGGTATTATTTTCTATGGGCTACTCATTCTCAGTAGATCCTATTTTAAAAATGATGTGTAAGTCCAAAGATGATGGCAGCTAAAGTTATATGCAAATCTTCACAGTTTTCCATGAAATGTTGAGCTTTGTTACCCTGCCCCTCCTAGTTCTCTATGGGTCAGTGAAGCTTCCCATCACGTTAAAATGACCTGCATGCAGTCTTGGGAAGCAGATGAAGGTGGAATGAAGCCTAACTTTTAAAAGAAAAGATTTGCATTTTAAGTGGAACTGAGCTAAAAAAGTGATATCTTGGCTTGTTTTTTTAGTTCAATAAACTTCTATTAAATTTTCAGAATAAGAAGGTAATAAAATTGCATAGTGTAAACATGACATACAATAAAGGGTCAATACAAAAGCACACAAGAGAAAAGCAAATAGCTCAAGGGGCAAAATGAGCAGTGTTCATGGCAGATGGTATGTTAATACAACGAAATAAGAATTATGAAAACCCAACAAACATAACGGGTCTGTGCCAGCAACCTACATAGGGACAAAATCCTTTGCAGATGCAAGCCAAGAGGGTGCAGTCAGAGAATAAAAAACAGACAGATCTTCTCAAACCTAGAAGGATAAAACAGTAGAGGTAGAAGAAGCAATAGTAAAATAGAAAAAAGTGGGGGGTTAAGAAGGAGATTAAAGAAAGGAAGAAAAGAAGAAAAGACAGAACCAGCTCAACTCCTGAATCCAGATAGAAAGACATTACACAGGATTACCTGTGTATAATCAAAGCTCAAGAAGGCGCCTATCAAAGGTGCAGGATTGTAAGTATTGTAACCATGGCTCCCAGATTCATTCAAAACCAGGAATCTTATCCACTAAGCAACAGTCCTTCATTCACAAAGGTCCAGTGGAACTTTTGTTCTACTTCCTTGAAAGGGAGTGTAGAAGACAGCCATGATTTTGCTATAGTTTGTTTGGCAGCGGTAAGAACATGCAACATACATTTATGTTTTCTACGCAAGAGTTCATCAGGCAAATGGTAAAGAGGGCTTCAATAGGTCGTGCCACCAACATGATACCCAAAAGGCAGAAGAGAAGGCCTTAGACTTCCAAAAAAATTGAACTTTCGAGCATTGCCACCAAACATGGATGAAGGAACCCAGTTCTCCAAAGTCCCAGAAGCACAATCCAGTATGTCCCAGATTAAAATTTTGCAGACAGCTAGGCACCAGATACTACCTATAAAACAATTTATATTGGTTCCTAAAGTGTGCATACTCTGGGAACTAGATTTAGTGGTTTCCCAAATAGACCTCCATATCTCCTCATCAATGGGAGCACAGAGGTCTTTCCCCCACACTGACATGTAATAATGAGCGGCAGATGTGTGCTCAGTAAGCAAATGACCATACAATAGCGATAAGTCTGGCTTTTTTATAGGAAAAAGTGTTAATTATGCCCAAGTAGTACCCTGAATTTTTTACCTTGTGCCTTAATTTCCTCTTAAAAATCAATGTACTTCCCAGTATGTGAATGTGCCTAGGTACGCCTGTGCCTACAGTCTCTCAGCTGCATATTCTCAGTGTGGGATCTAAGGCACTGCTACCTCTGATTGCTAGTCTCAGGAGATTTGGAGTGAGATTTAGTGATGTCACTGCTGTGCTGCTCTTTTTTCTCCATGACATGAGAAAGCAAAATCCTGCCTCTTGGTGCTAAGGAACAAGTGCAAATCCTGCAGCTCCCCAGACTGTCCTATGTTGCAATGAGTCCCTAACACTAAAGCACACCCTGACCCTTGCCCCATCCTGAACCCTTAACACTCAACCCCTCAGGGCCCATTTACACCACATCCAGATCATCTCCAGACCAGACCAGATTGTTTCCAGACCCAAAATGCATCCTAATGTATCCCTATGCTATTTCTGGCCTCTGTTCACACCAGCGCAGTCCGTTCCTGGCCAGACCGGAAAAATACTGCTGGTCTCATTTTGTCTGTTCTAGAATGCTCTGGAACTGGAGGCAGGTTCACACCATTTTCCTGGACCAGATCTGGTCCAGAAAATGGTGTGAACCTGCCCTGAAACAAATCCTTTACATCTGTCCTCACCCCATCACCTAGCCCCTAAAAAAAGCACTCCGGGAAAATAAGAAACGTACCCGTGCAGTAGGGCTACCACCGCACTGCAAGGGTTAAGCGTTCCTTTAGCATAGGGAAACAAACATTCAGAAAATGTTTGTGCAGCATTGTAGGAGTAGAGCACAAAATAGAGATACTTGGTGGGTAAAATATTAGCTCCTACTAGTTGTGTTGAATGATGCCATCATAGAACTAAGATCGCACACAGGTATTAGTTCAGATTATCACCTGCCAGGTAGTTTGTAAGCCTGACCAGTAAACATTAGACTTGCTGCCATTGTTATTGATAGGAAACCAATAAGACCGGTATTTTTACCTACAAAAGGTGGCAACCTTCATGATAAGTTGCAATATAAATTCATGTTCTCACAGGAAGTTGTAGCCAGAGTAAATAAATATAAAAACTGCAAACACCTAGGGGTTAAATAAAAAATGTAAAGACCAGAAGCAAAGTTTTTTTGTACCTTATGTACTAAGCCTGATAGATATGATCATTGCCCAATCACACCAGGTTTTGTAAGCTACCCCAACTCTATTTTATCTCTCTCTTGGCTTGCAATCTCTACATAAGAACATCTAATGGCCACTTTTAGCAAGTATATGGAAAGATTTACATACTTCATTACATACTTCACTTCAAAAATAGCTGTATTACTCACCTGATCCTCAGTGCTACAATGGTCGGCGCTCACCTTTCTCCCCCTCCACTCCAGCTACGCAATGTCTCTCTTTTTCCTCATGCCAAATGCAGGTCAATGGGCCTGCATAGGATGTGATGACATCAGCGGTCCTTAGAATGCTGGAGCCCAGGGGAGAAGAGAGTGAAGGGACCGGTCTAGCAGCCCAGAGGGAGCCAGAGGGACCAAGGATCAGGTAAGTAAATCTGATTTATTGAGACTCCTAGACAAAACAAACATTTAACCCTTGCAGTACAGGGGTGGCCCTACCATAATGGTAAGTTTTTGATTTTTCTGGGGTTCTTCGTTAACATGTTCCTTAACACTAAACCCATAACACAACTCATCCTAACACTTAATCTAACCCCTAAATTTAAACTACACCCCATATTGCTAACCATCACCGAAACTAAAATCTAAACTAGCAGCACTTGTTCAGCACTGGAAGCGGCTTCACTG